GGAGAAGTGTTATGACCTCAATGGAAAAGGAGCAAACTATCAGCAAAAGTTTGACGCTAAAAATCCCATGGTTCCAACAGTTTTGAAGCCTGGCATGTCTTTGGCAGATAGAGATGATAAGGTGGATAAGCCTGGCATGTCTTTGGCAGATAAAGATGATAAGGGGGATAAGCCTAGTAAGCGGGTGCCGGATCGGTGAGGGGCTAACCAAAGCTCGAACTAGATCGCAGATGAAAAAGCTTCTTTATTCGCTATTAGTGGTAAGAAGGGGATTTTTCATAAGGCACAACATGCCGCAATGGCTTCCCTTACCAAACAATCAAATTTTTAGATTGTATTTATGTCAGTTATAGCCTTGAATGTCAGGGGCCTTCAAAGCCGGGCTAGATTTTCTGATAGCAGGGTTATAAAAAATCTGCACAATAGTGGTCTTTTATTCTTATTGGAGACTAACTTGCATGTAGATTTGAATCGTGTTTGGTAAAAAAATTGGGGTTTTATAATAATGATATAGCCAATGAGGTTAACGGTAGATATAGAATCTTATTTTTATGGAATCCTTGAATTTACTTAACATAAATGATCAAATGCTAAATGTTGAGGCTACTCGAACATGCAATCGTAGAACTTCAATGGTTTCAGGGGTTTATGCGTTTAATTTTGTGTCCCAAAAGATTATGTTATGGGATCATATGTGATCTATAAGGGCTGCTATTACAGTTCCTTGGTTGATATTAAGGGACTTTAAAACTCTATTCGATAATTCAGAAAGAGTGGGGGTAGCAGTTCTTTACCTACAGATTCAGGTGTTTTTGCTCAAGTGATGTCGAATTGTTCTTTAACTGATCTTAGAGTAGTCAGAGGGTGGTTCTTTTAGTCTAACAGCTAACTAAGAAGGAGCTGTATTAGAAGGAGATTGGGTCATGCAATGACAACTACTGACTGGGTTTTGGCTTATTCAGAATCCAAAGTCGAGTTACTTCTTAAGGGGATTTCTGGTCACTACCCTTTACTGGTATCTATCTCAGATTTGGGTCTGGTTTGCCCAAAACCCTTCAAGTATCTTGATTTTATTGATGTTATATGTGCTTCTGGAAAGGTAGAGTGGGAGGTACACCCATGTATCACTTTGTTACAAAACTAAAGAGGTTAAGGGCTGACTTGTGTAAATGGAACAAGGAGGTTTTTGGTTATGCGGGGGAATCCATTGCAACAATTTGACAACAGTTCTCGTCCTTACATCACAGTTTACACAGTGACCCTTCCAATGAGGTATTCATTATAAAAGAAATAGAGTGTACAAAAAGATTTCAAATACTTTTGGGCCATGAGGAAAGATTGTGGAGGCAAAAAATCAAGGCAGAATTGGCTCAAGGATGGGGACTCCAATATTAAGTATTTCCATCTATCCACTGCGGTACTAAGAAGGAATGATAGAATTATTCTTTGAAAGATCAGAATGGGACGTCTTTAACTACTGAGGCTGGCATTAAAATTATATGATTGGTTATTTTGAAGATCTATTAGCCCAAGAGAGTGATACTGACTTACATATGATTGATCGGTTCTTGCCGCCATCGTTGCTCAGATCTATTCAGAAGGAAAAAATAGTGGATGCAATAAATATGTAAGAGGTCAAGGTGTGTATTTGGGACATGAAAATTGAAAGTACTCCGAATCAAAGATAGTTTTTCAGTGGAATTTTACAGATTTGGATGGGAGTTTATTAAAAAATATCTCTTTCTGTCCCTCAAGGATTTCTTCAGTAAAGGTAAGATCCTCAAGCAAATCAATTCCATTTTTATATGTTTAATTTCGAAGATGAATGCACCTAATGTGATGAATGGCTTTCAACCTATTGGATTGTGTAATGTCTTGTACAAAATTATCAGCAAAATTATCTTTAATCGTTTACGAGTAGTTCTTGCTTATATTATTGATCTTAACCAGGTTGCTTGTTTGAAAGGTAGGCTCATCACTGATAACATACTTATGGAAAATAAACGTATGTCTCTTTGCTATAAGAATTCAATTCAGCCTAAAATGTGTTTGCAAATTGATTTGAGCATTACCTGTAGTAGGGTTTTCTGGGATTTTATTATGGGTAAGATGCATGCACTGAGTTTTCCTAATATCTTTGTTTCATGGGTTCGTTTATGTTTCTCAACTTCCTTCTATGCATTGAAACATGGTTCCCCTAAGGGATAATTTAAAAGGAAAAGAGGTTTGAGGCAAGGGTATCCTCTGTTTCCATATTTATTCTTACTGGTCATGGATTCCTTCAGTATACAGCTGGAGCATGCTATGTTGCAAGGCTTTATACCTAGGGTGTTCCCATCGGGGTGTGATTATGGGGTCTCACATCTGTTTTATGTTGAGGATGTCTTTATCTTTTGTGAAACATCCATTTCTTTTGCCATAGCTATGAGAGACATTATTTCTAATTTTGAAATGACCACTGACCAAATTTTAAATTCTTCAAAGAGCAAGGCTTTCTTTTTTGGTGTTCCACGGGGTGGATGTGGACCTGAGGGAGTTGGAGTTCCTCGAGGGTTCTCTACCAGTGCATTGTATGGGGTTACCATTGTTTCGTAGACATCTTAAGCACAACTACCGTTATAGTCTGCTTGTTAAGGTGATCAGTAGCATTGGTACATGACATTCTTAATATCTCTCATATGAATGTTGACTCCAGTTGCTTAAGTCAATACTTAGTGCATCAGCAATATTCTATATTTTATGCTTAATTCTCCTGGGGGAAAACATTCAATATGGTAGACGGGTTACAAAGGAATTTCTTATGGGCCGGTGTAGTAGAGAAAAAGGTCTCCATCTTTTCAAATGGCAGACAACTTGTCTCCCTTAGAAAGGGGGAGGTCTGGAGGTACGAGATACTGGGAACTTCAATATTGCAGGTATGATGAAATTGGCCTGGAGGATCTTGACAAATGCTTCTTCGTTATTGGCCCGATTTTTTAAACATAACTATTTTAGAAATTCTTCTATATGGGAGGCTTAAGGAAAAAATGGTGTTCTCATGCTTGGAAGGGCATTCAACTTGGCATAACACATTTGAAGTATAATGTTCAGTGGTGTATTGGTAATGGACAAATGGTGGATTTCTGAATGGATCCATGGCTATCAGGACAGTCAAAATCGAACTCTTATGGTACTGATGTTTAGGGGGATTTGGGGGATTTTGTTGGGCAAAGGATTTATGACTTTATTGGTAGTTCACCTCCATCTTGGGTCCCGTTACAGCCCAAAAAGAACTCATTGGTATGGATTCATTATGCTAATGGCCTGTTCACAATCAAAACAACATGGGATTTTATTCGGCATCAAGGATCATTGTAATCTATATTCTGTGCCCTTTGGTTTTCTAAATGCCACCCACAAGCTAAATGGTTCTTATGGTTGGCCCTGTATAATCGTTTACCCATTTCATTTTTATTGCAGTAACGAGGTATGCAGTTGGACTCTGTTTGCCCTTTTTCTAGGAACAATGATGACACCCTATGCCATCTTCTGTTTCATTGTGTTTTTCGCAGGATGTATAGAGATTGTTAGCATGGTGATGTGGAAAGCAGTTCGTCCTTGATATTTCTGCTCTTGTGATGCTTAGGAGGTTGTTATTTTTGAAGTTTAAATCCCATGGACTCCTTAATATTTGGACTTCCATAATTTTCACTACTATTTCGTTTCTATGGGAGGAGTGAAACATGAGGGTATTTGAGTCAAGATCCACTAGGAGAGAGCAGATTGTGAAGCATATTACATTGCACATTCCGACATTAGCAGAGCTTAAAAAATGGACCTTCTATTTATTAGAAAAGGCAATCATTGGTAAGCTTCAGATAACTTGGCATCAGCAAAAGCTAGCATCCCTCACTCTGGTGGCGTGGTCATTTCCTGAAGCTCATAATTACAAGCTATATATTAGTGGTGCTTCTTTGCGAAATCCTGGTTTAGCAAGTGATGGTGGGGTTATCAGGGATAGTGATGGTGGTTTTATTGTTGTATTTGCAACACACTTTGGTATGGCTTTAAATAACCACGTAGAACTCTTGGCCCTTGAAGAAGGCATTCAATTAGTTCTTACGAGGGAATGTTTGCCAATCCAAATAGAAAGTGATTCGGTTCTACTTGTAAATGTCATTTAGAATCAATGTTGTGCTCCATGGCGGTTACAGACGATCGTAGTTAGTTGCCGAATCAAACTCTTTATTTATCGATAGTCTATTGCACATCTCACGAAGCAAATATGGTTGTTGATGCTCTTGCTAATATTCATTTAGAAAGCATGTGCTTCTCCCTCTAGAAGAAGCATACTACCATTAAGTAAACATAGTTGGACCAGTGGTCAAGCTCGAGTTATCCAAAGTGGGGAGTCTTAGTCAAGGATGTTAAAAAATTCTAAAAATATAATAAAAACTTAAAAAAAATAAAAAATTTATTTATAAAATAAAAAATTCTAAAAAGAAATTAGAAATTAATTCGTAACATTTGGAAAATATTTTGACTATGATAATTTTACATTTTTCCATTTTACCATTTTTTAGAAATTTTTTTAAAAATACCACCATCACAAAGTGATTTTTTGAAGTTTATTGTTTTTCTACTTTTTTTATCTAGATTTAGATGGGCTTTGTTTAATTTTATTTTAACTATATTTTTCCCATATTAAAATTTTTAAATTTTTATTTTTTTAACATTTTTTCTGTACAGTACTCGGCCCTACTCGGCGAGGGCAAAGGACGACGTGGTTTCAAATGCCGCATCATCCACTGGCCATTCATAAAATAAACGGTGGATGCTTAAACCAACACAAGCCGATACGTGGAAAATTCTATTATACAGAACGCGATCCTCCAAACATCTAGAATTTTCTGGACGTCAGTTTCTTGAATGAACGCTTTACTCTATTCAATTTAATTGTACAGAACGCGGTCTCTCGAATTTTCTGGACTTGAAATTTTTTCTAGAAAATTCTACCCCCTTCTCTCTCTAATCTCCATATTCTCTCTCTATATAAGATCTCTGGCCTCCATCCATCTCATCAGTTTCAGCGATCTTCTGTGAGATTACCTTCTCTACCGGCAAATTCCCATATCACTTCTTTTCACAAGAAAACCAGTGAAAACCCAATTTTCTCCATCGTAAAACCAGTGGAAAAATGTCTCTGATTCCAAGCTTTTTTTGGCGAAGGTCCAATGTCTATGACCCCTTCCCTCTCGGCATTTGTGAACCCTTTGATGGCTTCTTCCCTTCTCCTTTTAACACAAACACCGTTTCCTCTTTTTCCCTTTTCAATCCCAGTGATTCTGCAACCTCTGCTTTCTTGAATGCGAGGTTCGATTGGAAAGAGACTGAGAATGCCCATGTGTTCGAGGCCGATCTCCCTGGACTCAAGAAAGAGGAGGTGAAGGTGGAATTAGAAGATGGGAAGGTGTTGCAGATAAGTGGAGAGAGAAAGAAGGAGATGGAAGAGAAGACCGACAAGTGGCACAGGGTTGAGAGAAGGCAGGGCAGGTTTCTGAGGAGGTTCAGGCTAGCTGACAATGCAAAGGTGGATGGTATGAAGGCGGCCATGGAGAATGGGGTTCTCACTGTGACCATTCCCAAAGTTGAGGCCCCAAATCCTGATGTCAAATCCATTAAGATTTCCGGCTAAATTTCTGAATTTTCCGGCAATATTTGCGTGATGTAAGATGAAAGTGAGATAATGACTGCGGTTTTGTGTTGTGTTTGTAATGTGGGTTTCTTCTAACATGGAATTGGTGAGAAGTTAATAGAATTTGAATGTGCAGAAGTGTTTGATCATTTGATGAATCGAATGATTTTCAGTTCGTATCGTTTTGATCTGGCATCCATTATTTCATCGTAGTTTTAGGTTTTGCATTTCTGAAAATTTGTTGATAGTTTTATTAGCCGTTATCGGTATTTATCATGAAGAATTAGGCCGTTATTTCGCCACACCATTAGATAGCCTGCTGCGGCTCCAATGTCTTTGTGATTTTGGAAGAATAGAGAATATGAAAAAATGGTGATTGCATCAGTTTTGAGCTTGTGGGGTTTCCCCCTGGTGAGTTTTGTTACAGAGGGAAGACATTTGGAAAACTGCTTGTAAGAGAGAAGAATTTAGGTGGATCCTTGTGGTCAACGAAAATGCAGAGGTGAATAGCAATTGGGTTAATCTTCTCTCTCTGGCCCTATTCTTCTGTTTGATTTCCCGGTTCGATGGATTGGTGATTGCAAACTCTGGTATTTAGTTTGCTTCATTATGGTTTTCTGATTCATCAATGGGTTTAGGCTTTTCTTCATTTTTTTTCCCTCTTCTCTTTACTGGTGGCCATATTATAATGCACACCCCTGTTTTTAAGCCTTTGATGGCTTTCACCCCAGCTTTCTCTCTTTTTGTCATTCATGGCTTCAATAAATAAGAGAGATCCCATACATGGGCTCCAAAACCCTCAAAAAATCCCCAAGCTTGTAACCCAAGAAGTAATTCTAATTTGGGTGCAGTTGAGGTAAGGTGCACCTTCAAATTTTATTATGGTATGTAATTTTGATGTAAAATTTTATTATGGTATGTAATTTTGATGTAAAATGGTTTTGGGATTATTTCAAAATCTATTTTTATATTAAATTATAAAATTTTAATTTCAAAAATGGTTAAAATCAGTAGATTTATAAACATATGAAAATCTTGAAAATAGATGGTATAGATAATATATTGTAAAATGTATTATTTTTAGGACTTAAAATCTTTTTATTTTTCATAGTCATCTAGATGCGAGATGATCAATCAAAGGGTTTTTCAACATTAAAACTACATTTTCCCATAGATTTTTTAGGCTGATCCGTAGTTCTACATTATAAGGTAGCATTTTATATAAACTTTTTCCTTATAATTTTCACTCTTATGAAACTTAAAATCAGACAGCATTTCTACGACCCAGAAGTACAAAGCATCCATCTTAAAGAAGGATGCAATTAGGTGGTCTATAATTATTATTTGTAGTTTTCATATTATTTTTCTCGTTCATATCTATAATCTCTATGTTAAAGATTCTATATTATCTAAAAATTAAGATTAAATAATATTTAAAAATATATTTATTGTCAAGTCTGCATTTCTACAGTATACAGGTCAGCCACATAGAAACCGTGTCCATTATTTATATTTATATTTATATTTATATTTATATTTATAGAGTTATGTTAGGGTGCTTACACTATAGATCATTTTATAATTACACTCAATAAATTTCAGACACTTATATACTCTTGTTTTATACGTAAAGCAATGGATCATTTAATGCTCAGCGATGTATGGATGGTGTCACACACCTATTTCTAATGACAAAAAGTACCTTTACTAAACAAATATTGTATTACACAATAAATGTGTTCAAAATTTGTCGAGTACAGTTATAAAATGTGTGTGAGCACCCTAACAACACCTGTATTTATATTCTTAATTTATATTTGTATTATATTATATATATTTTATATTTATTTATGTAATAGATATTTGCAATACAATATATAATACATACTAGTGTTATGTATGTGCGTTGCACGTGATATTAAATATAAAAAATCGTAGATTATTCATTTCCAATAAGATTATTTTGTGATATAATTGATTATATTTCTACTAAATGCATTATTTACTTACCAACAAATTAATTTGAAAAATTTTAAAATAGAAAACATAAAAAATAACGAAAATAGAAAAAAATTAAAAATATGGAAAATAGAAGACATTCTAGTTTCCATAACATGTCGCATAAACATAAAAGTACGGCTATAATTATTTTTGAGATATTTAAGATATTAATATTTTATAACAGGTTTGGCATAAAAAATAAGATTCTTATTAAATATAATTAATTGCTATATAAGTTTTAAAATTGTAAGTGTTATAATTCAAAGTTTAAATTTAAAATAATTAAATAACTTAATTTTTAAGTTTTGTAATCTATTATGATTTTATTTTATTTTAATAATTAGGAATGATACCATTACTATAAACGAAATAAGTTATTACAATAATTCAAAAAGACAATTATATGCAAATTTATATAATATTTATTATTACACTACTGAAATACATAAGTAATTGATTAAAATTTAAAAATAATATATATCATCATGAATGAAACTTAAAAAATATGAACATACATTAAAAAATCGGGAAGAACACCTAAAAGAATATAGAGGTAATGCAGAAAATAAATAAAAAATTACAACGACTAAACTTCAATATGAACACCTAGAACATATATACAGCAATAATGGAATAAATAAATAAAAAGAATCACTATAACTTACCTTCAATATAAAGGATGTTAACCTTTATTCAAAGGTAAATAATACCTGAAAAATATTACAATTGCAAAATTTAGATGTAAAAAAATTTGTACTAACCTTTCGTCTTTTCCCAAAGAGACTTACATAAATAGGGACAACACAAGGCATTTGAGACCCCAGGATCAAGCAATTTACCATATCGTACAATAAAGCACACAAAATCAATCTTTTCTTCATCAATAAAATTAAAATTTTAAAAATATACAATTGTCATTAATGGCACTTAAAAAAATTTGTACATACATAAAAAATCAGGAAGAACGCCTAAAACAAATATAGAGATAATGCAAAAAATAAATTAACAATTACTGCGACTTCCCTTCAATATGAACACCTAAAAAATACAAACTTAAATAATAGAAAAACAAATAAAAAGAATCACTATGACGTACCTTCAATATGAAGGTTGTTAACCTTCATTCAAAAGTAAATAATACCTGAAAAATATTGCAATTGCAAAATTTAGATGTAAAAAAGTAGGTATTAACATTTCTTCCTTTCCCTAAGAGACTTACAGAAGTAGGTACGATGCAAGGCATTTGAGACCCTAGGATCAACAATTTACCATATCGCACGGCATTTGAGACCCTAGGATCAACAATTTACCATATCGCACAATTAAGCATACAAAATCAATCGTTTTATTCATCAATAAAAAATTCAATAAAAACCATATCAATGTATCCTATCATAGATATAATAGATAAGACCGATATTATTATTGTAGAGAAATAAAAGTACATTGGAGGGGTACTGTGGAGAAAAGAGGGAGGTAATATAGATAATATCAAATTATAGATTGAAAGAGAGATCATCATTTTGAGAGAGATCAAATTAAATGTATCAAATTACATTTTTAATTACCTAATAAATTGTAATATTTTAATATCTTAAAAAAAAGTGTCTTCAAATCTAATGAAATGAGGACCAAAATGATATTTTAAAGAGCTCCAATCAAGAAATACAATTAGGGTTTCATTAGATAAGAGATTTATCTACAAAATGAGACACATCGAAATAAATGACTGAGAATAGATAAAAAAAAATCAGCAACATTGCAAATATTACCCAAATCATCTCGAATAACTTGATCTACAGAGCTTCAATCAACAAACCATATTAGAAATTATGTAGATCATTCAAAGATCTATAAAAACAAACAAAAATAACTCAATTCACATAATATTCTAAAAAAATAAAAATCAATTCTACATAAATTAAGGAGAACATGATGAAAAAAACCGAAATATAGGCAAAAGCAATGACGAAATGCAAAGAAGCCATAAGGTTATTTACCTTGTAAATTACTGAAAGATCTACAAAAACAAACAAAAATTACTCAATTCCATATAATGTTAAACAAACAAAAAATATTCAACTGCACATTGAAACTAAAGAGAACATGTACGTAAAAGCAATGAAAAAATGCATAGAAATGCAGATAAAATGAAAAATTACTTGTCTTGAACAGAGAGATATGCATACCTTTTAGACAAAGTTAAGAGATGACGCTAGGAGAGAGAATAAATGAGAGGAGAGAGAATTTGTTGAGAGGAGAGAGATAGAGAAATAGATAGAATAAATATTGAGAGAATTTTATAGATAAGCAATAATGTATAATGTAGAGATAACTAAAAAAAGAGATATTTGTTTCCATATTAGGAGAGAGAGTGGAGAGAGAGAATCGAGTACGTTATAGAAAGACTTCTAAATTTTGTAACGTATTTCTATGCAATGCCTATAGGCGAAAATGAACAGTGATTTCGTTTATGCTCATCACCGTCCAAAGTTCATCGCACGGTCACATTTGTCTAGTAGTGTTTCAATTTTTTATTTTTATTTACAAATTTGGAGTGTGTGTTCATAAAAAATAGGTGAATCTAATAAAAATATAAAAATAATAATTAAAAATATATAAATTGACCAAAATACCCCTAAAAATTTATGAGGGTATTTTGGTCAATTTATATTTTACAAAATATTTTTTTTCATATTTTTATTAGGTGTGTCTCACTAAGATGAACACACATTCCAAATTTCAGGTCATTCCGTTTTGTAGAAAAAAATGAAAAATAAAATACTACAAAACAATCATGACCGTGTTATGAACTTTGGACGGTGATGAGGGTAGGCGAAATCACTGTTTATTTTTGCCTATAGGCAT